CCATTTAATATCGAGCTGCGTCGTGTAATATTGTGTCGAGCTAGTCATGTTACTTGCTAACATGTACTAACAAATAATACAGTAATTTTTTGTTAATTGTTTTCATCTTACCGTATCGAATGGTACATTGTATCGTATATGTGTAACACAAATTAAAATTAATTATCATGCTTGTGCCGGGTCATAAGTTGTCGTTTCTCTATTGTATTGACATGAAACCCTGATTTTATCACATGATTTGTTTTGCACACGTTAATTAGAATAATCGTACAAAAATAGATAACATAAGTTGCTAGCTAGGCTTTACCTTATAGTGGAAATTATTATATGAATTGGTATGTATAATATAGCAAAGGACACCAATATATATTAAGATCTAGTGACAAAATAAATAATCAAGAAACAAATAGGAATACGTATTATTTTGCATCAAGTTATATGGATTAATTCTCATAATGGAGATAAATATATTGAATTTTTTCTTTGGTTTAATTATTTTTTAAATCATGAAAGCATAAATTCAACATAAAAACACATTTTGAGAATAGTGTATGGAAATGGCTTCCTTTTTACAAGTGAAATGTCTCTTTCTCTACCTTTACATTACCTTAATGTACACAAACTTCGAATCTAGGGAAGTTTCTTCCCCATCTTCAATTCTTCCTCTTCTCTTTTCTTAAAAACCTACACATGCTTATATGTAGAATCCTATAGAAAAGCACCTTTAATCTTTTCCATATCGCTATGTGCAATAAGCTACAGTAACATTTACAGCCGTGTCTATTTATGACATACACACACCACATAACAGTTATGTGTGTGTATCAGTGTATGGTATATTTCTTTGAGACATATACATCCACGTCAACTTCCAGCCTTAATTAAAACTCCATTACTTTTCTGCCAAATGTTCAATATAATTTTATTTATAATTAAATATATTTGACTTTTTAAGAAAAATCCCTCTCTGAATATAAAACATTATGTGTCAAAATCTAACGTAATTTGTTAATTTTTGTTGCTTTAAAGTAGTCAATGTGGATCTACACTTGTACACATGCCTATAACTATTTTTAAATTATAAAAACACTTTACTAACTTAAATTTACTTTAGAAGGTAATACTTTTATACATATCATCAATTTTTATATATAATATGCTAAATTAATTATCGCTTCATCATCTTCGATTTGACATCCATATTGTATATATAAATAATTACATTTATCTATAAGAGTTAAATTATCTATTAATATTATTTGAAAAAAATAAACTTATTTATTGATTAAATTAATTTATCTCTATAGTAATTATATGATACAACCTTAAAAATATTATTAATATAATACGAGTAAGTCGTACAAATGATGATTGTCGTTTAAAATATTTATGACAATATACTTTTTAAAAAAATTATTTGAAATTTTAAAATAAAGATTTTTTTTATTGTTTATAAATCTAAATGTAATACACTTATACTGTACTCAGTACTCAGGGGCGTAGAAAGGGTTGGGCTCACCCGCACTCCAAACCGGTCTTAATTTTTGAGTAAAAAAAAAAATAAAATTGGCCCATGTTTTATTAATTTAATTCATGATAAAATTATTTAGTCTATATTAATTTAAATTTATTTTATATTAAACCAACAAATTATACATATTTTTGGACATTATTCAAACTTTTCATATGTATTTTTTTGTGGTAATAGCTTACTTTGTCTTTTTCTCTTCTTTGTTTTCACTTTTTAATGTTTGGTTTAAGACACTTAGTTTATATTATTTATATTACTTTATATGTAAAGTATATCAATACTAGTTAACTTTTAAATAAATGATATTTGAATATGTGAGATATAATTTAATTTCATTAATTTGCGTGTATATTCGATGAAATAACATTTGGAATTCAACAATTTTAAGTGAAATATCAGATAACAAGTTTGTTGGTTAACCTGACTATTCAATAAGATGACATCTGGACTTCCACAATTTAAGTGAAATATCATGTAACAAGTATGTTGGGTTGACATGCCTAATAAAATATTCATCTCATAGTAGTATTTGAGATAAGTTATATTATTTTTATAAAGTAGACAAGAAGAAATTACGTAACAGTACTATGTTATGAATAAGAAATTATCAACAAAAAAACCGTCCTTGGCCAACTCCTCATTTTGCCTTGTTTGTGTTAAATGCAATCGATCTGCGTATAAATTATACGCCCACAAAAAAAAAAAAATAACATAAGGCGTTTATAATTTACTAAAACAACAAGACTTATTTTTAATATTTATTTTTCATTCGTTTGTAATTTACATTAATCACTTAAGAAGATATCATACTTTGAATTTTTACATATAATAGTGGTGATATTATTAAAGTCAAATTGAGTCGAGTACATCGTGTTCGAACTTCTGCTCGTTTAATAAATGAGCATGTTTGACTCGAAAACCATATAAATCGATTGTAATCAATTAAGTTCTGCTTGTTTGAATTAAATTTTCATTTTATGTTTTATTAATGAATGAATCGAGATTGACTTTTTACGAGTCGAAGTGAATTGTACTCCCTAACAACTCGATTCTAGCAACATATGGTAAAAAATATTTCTGGTTGCGCCTGTGACTGTACTAGTAATTTAGTATTGTAGAAGTTTTAAGTAGTTGAAGATACAAGTTTTGCACAAATAAATGAAATTAGCACTATTGATTTATTTAAAAATAAATAATGTTTCAGATAAGAAAGAAAAAGGTTAATTTTTCTCCACTATATTATATCCTCCTGTCAATGTCAATATTCTGTTTCACATGTTTCCATTCTTAACAAAATACCACCACCGTTAGTTATATAGGTAGAAAACTAAATTTCATTTATCTAAAAGTGGAGGTAATATAAATTTAGCTGTGGTGTTGCAAGTTGAAGCTATAGGAATATTGCTGAAATTGACAGTACAAATGGCAAAGGAGTTGTTATACTCAGTTAAAATAGACCGGTCATCAAGTCAAATTACTGGTCAACTATTTTTTAATGTATATAATATTTTATATATAAAAACATTATTAATTAAATATTTAGATAATATAAAACATTCAAATGCTTAAATTAATTGATAAATAGTCTTTACATTTTTTTATTTATATTATAAATACTTTTAAATATATTATTTTTAAAAAACAAAAAAACTATGCCAGTCGAACTTCTCCCGCCGGCAGGTTTTTGACTTGTTTTAACTAATTCAATCAGCCGTTGACGGGTTCTTGACTGATTGTTTAAACTAATTGATAATTAGTCTTTACATAATTTTTATTTATATTAAAAATACTTTTAAATATATTATTTAAAAAAACTATGCCTGGACTTGTTTTAACCGGTTCAATGATCAATCGTTGACCAGTTCTTGACTGGTGCTAGCAATCGGTTGATTCAACGGACCGGTTCCAATCCAACCGATCGAACCAACTAATCCGGTTCAGCTTTCAAAATAATATTATAAACAAAATATAATTAAAAACAAAAAAACAAAAATCAAAAGCATCTCTTCCATTTTCAAATTCTCTAATTAAACTACAGAAACGTGAGATGACTTTTACT